TGTAGTGTTTGAGTGGAAATGTCTGCTGTGGGTCTTGAAAAACGGGCAAAGGCATTTCAGAAACAATCGTGTCCCCAAATAAACCTTGCGTTCATTGGTTGTACAAATCTTTTCGCATCCCTCCACGATTTGCTGTCCTATCAAAGTCGTTTAGCTCAGTTGCTCTAACATGCTACTCAAACACGAGCCATTAATCGCGTGACTTCGTGTTAAAATTCAAAATCGCAAATAAAATCGTAGCACTGCGCTTAGTACTACACAAACAGCACAAATTACATTTGTTATATCGCGTGACTCCTGAGCTAACAGTTACCTATAAACAGGAAATGATACAGTGTGCTCCACTAATGGCGCCAAACAAAGGCCTCGGCCTTTAAATATCCGAGTTTCCACTTTGACCGGACAGTTTTTTGATCTAAAATATATCTGATTGGCTAAAAATGACTCCGAATGCATTTGTTTGCACATACAAGCAAGCGTGTAAAGTTAACTGAGATATTTTAAGAGTAGTGGCAAACCTACTCTGAAGAGTGGACTACAGTAAGTCAGCTCTCTTCCGCCCGTCCATTATCAAATGTATTTTTCTTTTACGAGTTAAATGAGCGTGTTGGTAATAAACGTACCTCTTAAATTAAGTCGACAGAAGTCTTCTCGGTACAAAGCAAAACGCGTTTTCTTTCCTCTCTGGCCGCCCGAAACCAAACCTGCGCCGAATCTCCCGCAACTCTTTCTAGATCAGCTGTCTTTCCCGCCGCTGCCCTCTGATTGGCTTAGCTGAGTGAAGCTCATTGGCTAAAGCGTTACGGAGGATGTTACGTCAATGTTACGCGCCCCAGTCGGTGGCGGGAGTTTGAACACAGTACTTTTTTGGCGCAAAGTTCCCGGGAACTTATACGTGTCCAAATGCTGGCATATTTACCTGTTTCTCCAAAATAATTTACGTTATGGAAATAATCAGAGTAAACTATTTTAACCACCATATCACTGCACTAAAACAATAACACAAAGCATTAATAATATATTAAATATAAAGCATATAAATATTAGATTAGATTAGATGAAACTTTATTAATCCCTTGGGTGGGTTCCTCAGTTTCCAGTAGCAAAGCACCGAAAGAAGTTGCATGTTACAGATACATTAAGGGGAATGAGAGTAAGGATATAAGCATAAATACACCATATATACACAAATACACATATATAGATACAGAATATATAATATGGATAAATAGGATTGCTCATTTGAGTAAGTATATTGCACAGTGATTATTGCACAGTCGAATATAAGAAAAAAAGACAAAACAAAAACAAATATTGCACAGTGTAGAAAAGCACCTACAGCTCAGTTGTTCCCGCCCTCCCTTGTCCCCCGTTTCTCCTCCCTCTCTATATATAAAATATATATTTTTAATACATAAAATATTTTATGTATTAAAAATATATAAAATATATATTTTTAATACATAAAATATTTTTGGGACATTACTACAAAGACACATTTTGCTCCTGATCTGCCATGGGCGTTTTATTGTTGCCTTATTCAGAACTGAAGATAAGTGTTGACTATCTTATATCCTTTAGTCAAAGTGGGGAACGGTGGTTAGCAC